GTAGAAAACGTAACAGTAGAGGCATTGCTTCAAAATATGTTTTCTTCCATTTCTCAAAAGCTTCACACCTGAGGTAGCTATCACTCTCAGGAAAAGCCACGCGATTTCCACCCGGCCAACAGATCTGCTCCACCGCTAATTTGCCATGGAATCATAACGCGGCCGCAAGCGCTTGCGAGTCGTTACGTATCCAATTCTCTTGTCAAAACAATCAATTAGAGCCGAAAAGGGGGGGAGGGGGAAGGGTAGAGCGTAGGGCGGAGATGATGTACTGGCAAGTGGCACGCTTATCACAGTCAAAGGGGGTCAAACCCCGGATCGGCTAGTCAAGCCTTCCATCCTCCTTGGACGGTAAATGGTTTCCAGATTCGTTTATGAGGATAAGACCCCTGACCTGCACATTGGCTGGCCTCCCCAAGTCCTCAATAAGTCACCACGATTCTGCATGTAAGTAGAATGCGTGCCGCATCCAAAAACAGGATCGATCAACGACGGAAACTTTATTATTTTTATGTATGTTGACACATATATACACCTTCGATTTTTGACCCCACTACCTCTATCTAGGGAAATGTGCCTTGAATGTCTGTCAGATCATTGTCCCGCATTGACTGCCTGAGCAGAGAATCCTGATCCCTGACTGAGTGAATCCGTATAGAACTCAACGATCATCTGATTGAGAGTTGATGTGAACACCTTGACACCGGCTGCGATTTGTCCGCTGAACCTGAAATACCACAGTTAATGTCTTAGTAATCACGAGCCACCAAATCTTCAGCGCATCGATAACGATGTTCCTCTTCTCGCGAATCGAATCCGCAGCCTTAACATGGCGTGGGGTGGAACGGTCTTGGTCGGCAGGTATCATGCTAGAACTCAGCATCGGAAAATAGACTCCATCCTAGCAGGGAAGTGCGGTCAGCGTCATTCAAAGCGCCGTTAAAAGGGCTATGCTCGGAATTTCCACAATACGCACAAATGAAAGCAGTAATTTGGAACACTGCACACCCTCGCTAATGGTAAATAAGGGGTGCAGCCGCACTTGCCAAGCACTGCAAGATCAGCTAGGCGAGGTCCTCCATGCGTTCCGAAGGCTGCGTTTATACTTTGCGGCAGCGTAGCGTAGCGCTTCCAGCGTACGCCAGCGGCAAAGGATAGGTATCGATCTAGCGTTCACCAGCGTTACGCTAGCGCACGCCAGCGTACGGCTGTCTGGCGTAGCGAGGGCACGGGAAGCATAGCTATCGATCTAGCTTCACCAGCGTTTCTCGAGCGTTTCTCCAGCGGCACCAGCGTTTTGCTAGCGCTTGCAGCGGCAGGGAGTAGAGACTATGTGGCCGTGAGAGACGCGGAATCGACGTGTATTGTAGAGACTATGTGGCCGGCAGAGACGCGGAATCGACGTGTATTGTAGAGACTATGTGGCCGTCAGAGACGCGGAATCGATGTGTATAGTAGAGACTATGTGGCCGTCGGAGACGCAGAAGCGATGTGTATTGTAGAGACTAAGGGCGAGTGAGAGACGCGCAATCGATGTGTTTTGTACCCTCCAGCTCTCCCATAGTCTCTACTCCCCTGCCGCTGCAAACGCTAGCAAAACGCTGGTGAAACGCTGGAGAAACGCTGGCGTACGCTAGCGTACGCTAGCGTTACGCTGGTGACGCTGGGAACGCTAGATCGATATGCATCCTCTCCCCGGCACTGCCGCTGGCGTACGCTGGAAGCGCTACGCTACGCTGCCGCAAAGTATAAACGCAGCCGAAGATGACTGCTGAAAAGCGCTTATCGACTGGATTCCACGAGATGCCAAATGAACATCTGGACGATCGCTTACGCATGGTCAGATTCCTCATGAAAGCACTGAAGGAATGGTACAATGTTCATTGCAACCTTCCCGGCGAGCCACGAAGGTTGCATTGACCAAATCATTGGTCAATTTTAGCTCGTTGTAGGAGACAAGATGGAAACATCGGTAGCGCCCGCCTGAGCAACGCAGCGGGAGCACAGGTGATGCTGGTGAAGGCACGGCGGTCTGGGACCATGAGAAGAAAGGAGCCAGCTGAGGGTTGCTGATGGAGCGTTGGCCTTCCGCTGGAAGGGGCTGTGCTTCCTTATCAACAGGGTTTGTTGATCCCCACTATAGCAACCCTTTTCCACCTTCATGAACGACCTCAGACATTACTGCCTTGACCCCCCTTTCTGCCAGGCATTCCAATCCCATGAGCATAATCAATTTGTCGTGCCCCATATCTTTGAATACAAACTGTGCGCTCACTTCCAAGAAGCCTAATCCTTATCATGTCATGTGCAAAGGTAACGGCTGCGCAGCTGTATATACGTGACACTTTCGCCACGCGTTAGTGCGCGGAAATGAGAGTGTTGGATAGGGATAGTTAGCGCCGTTTTCGTCTGAGCCCTCAGGCAGAGACGCAGACAGGCTAGGTGCACGCCTGACCATGGCCAAACGTGCAACCTGTCTGCACCCTCTCACGTTTGGTCGTTCTTTGCTTCGGCTGCGTGAGATCGCCCAGTGATTTTAGTGTCGACTCAAGGTGGCACTTCAGGATAGCGGGGAGGAAACGCGAACGATATCGCGCTATCAGTAATCTGTAGTATCCTCATTTTCGTGCGCCTCCGGGTGATGAAGTGTCACACTTCTACAGCAGCCAACCCATTCTCCTATCAAGTGCCAAGGATCGTCTTGGAAGCTGAAACATGCAGTTCTAATTCAATCAGAAAATAAAGCTGTAAAGGGCTGTATGGCACAAATAGCCATTGAGCTGAGTGGTCAAAAGTGGCCTCGGTAGCGTAATAGGGAACGCAACTGCCCGGTAAGCAGAAGATGCGGGTTCGAATCCCATCCGTGGTCCGACTTTCCCATAACTCAGCATTCTTGTGATAGCTTTCATCAGAAATGAGTTTGTGTGTATCGAACCTGTCCAGCAGCGGATTGTATGGTGTTCCATCGTAATCGTAGACACTAATGTTGTCGCAGCACCTCTCTGTATCGATTTGTCCGAATGTCAGTAAGATCCTAGTAGATTACTTTGAGCAGATTTGTAAATCTTTGAAAGAAATCGAAGTTTTCAATCAAAAGTACCTGTTTCCAGGAGCTGTCGAGAGCTCGTAACGGCATTGAGTGAGTGCTGGATAATTACCGGGATATCCTGGACTAGTGATCTAAGAAAATTTTTAAAAGATACAGATGTTACTGCGTAGAAAGGAAAAGGATTGTGCTCTCGCTGCTGAAAATATCAACCATTCCCTTCCTGGGGTGCGGCGAGCACTTTACATCCTTCCATTCAGAAGCACGCTAGGAAGTTGATTGCGATGTGGCCTACAGAATGGCTTGGGGGCCAGCCGATGTGCAAGCTAGTGTTCTTATCTTTCCAGATGAATCTGGCACCAAATTACCGTCCCTGGAGTCTAGAAGGATTGCTTATCTCAAGAGTTTACCTTGATTAACGCGCATGGTAAGCGGCGCCTCTTTTCACCACACCACCTCGGCCTTCTACGTACCCAGTCAGTTGATCTAAGAAAATTCTCCATCTTTATCTCGCTACATCTGAACTTCGAGGAGATTCCATGTTTAACGAACACCTCGAGTCAAACGCCAAAGATGCCATAAAATTTAATTTGTGTGACGTCGCATATGTAGTGACCTACATACAATACCGCCCCTAATTTTTGGAAAAAAGGCGGATTAATCCGCCGCAGACCGCCGCAAAGCGCCCCAAAGCGCCGCACTGCCATAACTTCTTTCAAAAAGGGTGATGGGAGAAGCAACAGATATATTTAGATTCGTCTCTGCGTGGCGAGTCTAACGGTGTATGACCCGTCGAATTTCGGTAAGTAGGTCATCAGCTTTTTCCTGAAAACCGGTCAGATTCCGCTATAGGCTATAACTCAGTTTGTGTGAACTTTTCTCATATAGAACCCTACACGGTTAGACTGAGCTCGTCGAGCTCTATAAGATAGCATTCTGAAAAACTGGAAAAGTCGAAAATTTATCACTGCTCCCTATCGAAGTACCCGAGGATACTCGTTAGCGAGCGAGTCTCGCTATAATTGTAACCAGAGGGTAATCGTTGGGAATTGAATCATTCAGGAATCGAATAATGTACTGTGTCGCGTAAGAAGTGATTAAAAATTAGATAGTTGTGTTTCCTAAACGATGCTGATCATTACGGTGCCAATTTTTCTGAAAATGGATGGGTTTCGCTCGATGTCATTTCGGACAATGTAGCCTTTTCAGTCCGAAAAATCTCGAGCACTGGTTCAGTTCGGACCACACGAGCACAACGAGCCGAATGT